AGCAAGTAGATATTACATCTGCAGTCAAATGCAGCTGCCTTGACATCACTGAGGTTCTTTTTAAGGAGTTTGTATCCTTGTTTTTTATAGGCGACTGCAAAAATAGTTTAATCCAGGGTGACGCGCAACATGTTTAAAGGTTGGAACCTTTTTATTGATGAAATTCAGCCTGAAATATAAACGGTAGAAAGCACAATAAATAAATAACTTTCTTTGTGGTGACTGTTTTTAAAAGCCTTGCCTTGTAGAGCAGACCTTATAGTAAAAGTCCGAACAGTTTGTGTCCAGTATGTTTGGGGTCTGCAGAGATGTTGTGGAATGTCACACATGCATGATTGACAGCGAAAAGGCCCCGCTTCTGTTTCTGATTGGTTGTTTGTTAGCACTGGATGAAGGCGGAGGTGCTCAGTTTTGTATTATTTACTTTTTTCATAGATTATCTGTTTCTTACCAAGCTGTGTTTCAACAAATGTGTAAAAAAATCTGTTTTTATAAAAGTTGCATAAATAATGGAAGCATGCCAGTTTTGATAAAACTCTTGTTTTTTGATAAAAGGTTTTTGGCGGAAGGATGCTGTGGGATTTTTTCATGCCGTATAAAAATTGGTTTGTAAAACTGCAAAGGAAACACATGATCAACAACCGGATGTTTCTACTGGTTCAAACCATGAAGACGACGAAGAAGACATGGTTAATGACTTACCGTGTGAACAAACTTGTTCGTGCGGGATTTTAATTTAATTTCTTAATTAATGGAAACACTGCAATTGCGAACTTGTGTTTTTTTTTCACCATTAGCAGAATATTGGCAAAGTTTTGCGGACATTTCAATGAAAACGCAGAACTGGTGGCAGCATTCACTTGTAGTCTGTCAACGAACTACAGAAGCAAACTCGTTTTTCTTCGTTACACGATGAGCCATGCTATAATTTATTATGAATTCAGTCACTATATTCCAAAGCGACCAACATTTGAAACCTACAAATGTAAAAACGTAGAGGAATAGTAAACTCTTTTGGAGAACAGAGAGTGCTGAGCCTTCAAACCCGAACAGAAAACGCTGCTCTGTGTGGGAAATCCCTGAAGATGCCCCCTCGGCTCAGTGAATCCTCAGGTTATTGACGACGCCGTCCGCTCATCTGGATCTCATTATCAAACTGTCTTCCGGAGAGACTAATTGAATTAGCGCAGGGATCGGAGCGCTTGCTGTTAATGATGCGCTGCGGTCCTGCGGCGAGTCGAGAATCGACATCTGTCAAACGTCGTGGGAAGATTCACCGTGATTTAAACGTTATGAGGCCGACCTTGTTTGTTTGGTCCTTCAAAGATATTTCTAAATAAAAACCGTAACACTCACCTATGGATGAATGAAACTCCTGGCTTTAAATTAATTACTGGCTGCTTTGAGGCTGACATCTTCTGGGTTTTTCTTACTTTCAGGATTTTCCCAATAATTAGAGTTTTGCGCGGCGATGTTTTATCGTCCACTCAGGGAGCTTTTGATGAGCTTTGAGTGCTTCCTATAAGGGTTGAGTGGAAATGTAAAGACTCCTGTCAGATCAGCAAAGTGCTCACCTGCAGGGAGTTGAGTGTTTGAGTCGTCGTTTCTTGTTGCTTTCTGTGAAAGGGTCAAACACTCTCTGACCCAAACACCGGTGTTTACTCTCTCTTTCTGAGCAGAACGTATTTCATATAAACTTTTAAAGTTCTTGAGTGGATCTGGAGGGATTGCAGCTTTTTCTCCAAAATCTAAGGTAATCGGTCACACTGATGTTAAATGGGGAGAGAGTTTTATTGAAAATTAAATGAATAAATTAATAAATACTTCATAAAAAAATGTCAAAATAAAATAAGTTTTTTTTTATGTAGGAGCCTAGTTGGTCACAGTTTTATTTATTTCATAATGGGATTTAAGTTTTTTAAAGTTTCGTTTTATGAAATAAAAAATATAAATAATTGATAAATACTCTGTCAAATAAATATATGCCCCATGAAATAAAAACTACATACAAATTTGTTTGTTCAAATGCGGAGCTTATTTTGTCAATCACAACTGAATTTATTTATTTTTTAAATTGTCATAATGGTGTTGCAAAACTACTTTACATATTTCAGAGACTTTTATTTTTTCATCATTTAGAAATGTATATAAAAAAATATGTTAATAGCAAATACTCTATTTCATAATTTTATTTTGTGAAGTTATGTGATGTTTTTCCACCAGTTATGAAATAAATTAAATAAATGCCTTAATAATTAACATATAGTCCAATCTAAAAATACATTTATTTTTATTTTCTTTTATGGGGTTCTTATTCACCCAATATCAGCCAAAACCATGATCATCCTCTTCATCAGACTGCTAGACAACAGCCTCAGTCAGAGGCTTTGTCAGAGCCGCTGTAACACAGACTGCTACAGGAGATCCTTCCTGCCACCAACTCCTCTTTGGGGGAACTTGTATAATACATTAATCTGGGATTAGTCCAGTATTTTCAACCATTTCAAAGACCTGATTCCCATTATTCCCAGTGGAGTCTGAGGAAAGGAATACTTATTATTCCCATTAGTTCCCAATCAAGGAACTAAGTGATGTTTTACACCTGTTTGTTTTTCAGAGAGCTGGATGCGTTTGCTTGCATCCACATGCAAGATGAAAGTAGCAAGAAAAGGAGGAGCAGGTAGCACTTCATTACTGCGCCGAGTCTCTTCCTTAGGTCCACAGAACCACTTCATTTACTCTGAGAGAAAGGACAGGCCCCGATGGATCTCCCATTAATCTTTAATGAGCCCCCGGCTCTGCCTTCTTCCCCATGCACATCCAGGAAACAAACAATGACTCGGCTGGAAAACACTCGTAGCCCGGCCTACCTGCCTGCCTGCCTGCCTGCCTGCCTGCTCGCCATTAACCCTGAATTATTAAAGCGGCCATCAATCTGCCTCAGGAGTGGGCATCGTCCTGATGGCGGCGTGTCTCTCCGAGTGTCTCCAGCTGGATTTTCAGCCAGAAGTTGGAGTTTATCGTTCCATTCGTCATTCACAGCTGCTAAACTCAGGAGTCTGTCAGCAACAAAGCAACTTAAAACCTAGAATTACCCTGAATCAGCAGCAGTTTTTGCCTCATTCCCTTTCTGGATTAAAACTCAGCATCTGCCACACTGCTTGGCATCCCCTGTAAAGATTGTTTAATTGCAGTAGCGGACAAAGAAAAACATCTAAATTAGGTAGATGTACGTCTTTCCAGCACAGATATTATCCACTATTTTCATTTCCGATACCGATACAGATATCTGAGGTTCAGTATCGGCCGATACCGATCCAATACACATTCACTAGAATCAAAACTAATATCTATAGTAAAGTTTACAACCTTTAATTCCTCCCTTTATCGGCGACATCAACCCCACTTTGGGTAAGAAATATACTTTTTTAGGTTTAATTTTATCCATTAGACAAGTTGAGAAACTATATAGTTGAATATTTTTTTCTTTTTAGATTTAAAAACACAAATACCACAAAATTTTAGATAAAATTCCTGGTATTTGCCAGTAATTGGAAAATGGCTCAACACTTCAGAAACACAAAATCTTACAGTATTTTTGTGTAGTTTCTACTGAAAATATCTCTGTACGATTGAAATAAGACAAATTAAACTTTTAAGTACCTTTTCAGCAAAATAGAAGAGCTTGTTTTAGAAAAATAAATCCTTAACATTGATGAAAAACTATTTAACTTTTAACAGGGGGAAAATATCTTGTCATATGTGAAATAATCTCCCAATGAAACTTTTTCATCAATATTAAGGAATTATTAGAACAAGCATGTATTATTTCAACTGTACTGTTATTTGCACTTCAAAATGGACAACAATACTTGGTAGGATTTTGTTCTTGCAGTGAAAAATGAGGTGTTTCTGCAGGATAATAATCCAAAACGTGTCTCAAATCAACAGAGACACCAAACCAGACACAACATCAAGCTTTTTCTTTGCCTTAACGTTTCCAGAACTAAACCCGGTTTAAAAAATCTGCAGAATAAACTGAAAGGAAGAGAAAAACGACGATGCTGGAGGATCTAGAAAGAAGATCTGTGTCTTTCTGCAGATCCGTTTCGCTCCAACCACGTGAAACTTTATAGCACACTAAGTGCTGCAACTAAAATGATGCATTTCCAGGCTGAATTTACCAATATTTTCATAGAGAGTTATGTTACTGCATTGAAAGATTAATTTAGTTTTACACAGCAGGGTTGGAGAAAGAAAATCCAAATTATTACTCATTTGGCTTTAAACTGGCTTCATAGTTTTTTAGAATAATATTTTTTGTCATTGTTGCAATAACAAAAAAGAGTTTGGCAATTTTTAATGGCAGCATAATAAATCGCAATAAGTACATGAGTACAAACAAAATCCCATTTAAGTCACTTGAAGTTCAAGACCATAGCCTATTGTTACTCCTTAAAGTTTTCTTGATTATTAAAGAAAACTTTACTAATTATGTCAGATTTGCATCTTTTTGGAGACACTGAATAGGACAGATCTCTGGAGTTTTGCTTATGAAGATTATACCGTTTCAATACTATTACGTTAGGTGAAGACTCTGAAAAAGTCAAAATAATGCGAATATTCAATCTAGAACATCCAAGAAAGGTCAAATCTGAATTTAAAGCAGCTATAAACTACAGATATTTGCATGTTTTTCATCCAATAAACACTTAAATGTCTGGATCCTGAGACATCGCCTCAGTTTTTCTCCTCCCAGTCAAAAGTCCTTGCACCCTGTTCGACACACATGCCCGCATTCATCCACCGCCCTGCAGCGGCATGTCCTCCAGGCAACCAAAGTGTCATGGCAACCGTACGGCAGCCACGGTAACGGCAGGCTCATTTTCATACTGATGAGGCCAGTTGCCGGGGAGGTCTGAGCCGCCGCCGCTGCTGCTGCTCGTCTCTCCTCTCCGGTGTCGCCCTGAAATTTTAATGACCTTTTTTTTCCTGCTTCTCGTTTTTCTACTCTCACGGTGCCCTCTGAGTGTGTGTGTGTGTGCGCGCTCAACTCAACTGTTCAAACATATACACACAGTGTGACGGGTGAGGAGAACAAAGGCGATGCGAGTCTGAAGACGGTAGACCGTTTGAAGGGCATGTATTTTTATACGCTAGGAGGACCTCCTCCAGTCTGCAGCTCCTGGCGTCTGCAGGTTTGACACTCAGCTTCGTTTCTGGGTTTGAGGATTTTAACGCGTTTAGAAGGATGACTGGAGGCAACATGGAGAAGAAATCTGACTTAAGGTTGTATTTATCCTAGCAATAGCATACTGCGAACTCTAGGGGGCAGTAATTCACCAAGTTGTTCTCCAGACGAAGCATTCAGAGATTCTGACTTGTTGACCAGTGAAGGTAGGACCAGGCCTGCCGACGTAGCTAATTTTCCTGGACGATAAATTGCGATAAATGATATTATTATTATTAATGGTAATAATAATAATGCAAAATTACATTCTAAATTCTAATGAACATTTAACACTGGATGTTAAACGTTTTAAGTGTCCAAAATAAATAAATAAAACAACAGACGCAACAAATAATATGAATTATGAAGCCTGCATAGTTGAGACCAAAACAGACTGAAGACTTTTGTCGACCAGTTTTTGGTAGAAAGAGAGAGAAAAATGGAAATTACCGAGCTCATTTTAGTTTATCATGTGTTTAATTGATGTATTGCTTGTTGCGACAGGTTTAGGTGGGATCAGTCATGGCGTTCGATTCTCTCATTGTGTCATTTTGACGCTGCTTCAAGGAAATTCCATGTCTACCCGTCAGATTTTACAATGACACATTAAACTGCATTTAAATTTCATTCTGTTTAATTAATATTCAAAAAGTTTAACACAGAATCAAACAAGATGCACATCAAGCAGATGAATGTGTGTCTTTTTCTTCAGGGTAACAGAAAACACAGACTGTGGCCCCAGAATCTGTATACAAACCGATGAAACTAAACAACTATGAACGATTCACAACGTCCTCCACATGGACCGCTTGTTCTTAATCAAAGGTTTCAGGGTTTTAACGTAGAGCTGGAGTTTCAGCTGGTACATTGGAAACTGGAACTACAAGCCGCAGTTTTGAAATCGGGGAACATTTCTCCTATCACGCAAACACTTGATTCAGCAGGAAGAAATCCATTTAAATTATTGCCATATAAATTACCTGAGTTTAGTTTAGCACAAGAACAGAAGGACAAACGCAGGAATGAATGGATGAGTAGTAAAAACGCCCGACCCTCCACTGACCCTTATCTGTTGAATATTTTTTCCTCCAGTCTGTGATGCAACATTCCTGATTCTCCCGATTTATTCCCAGAATCTCACGCGGAATCCATCACTCCACCGTCTGTTTGGTCTGTATCCAGCATTTAGATGCTTTTCTCAAGGTGAAGTCGAACCTAAAGCTGGAGCCAGAAACCATAAAAAACTGGATTACAGAAACATGGCTCAGTTAACTGGGACAGGGCGATTAATCGATACATTTTATTGATTAATCTGGACTTTTTTTCACCAACGCGCTCGTTGGGTTTCTTGTTAAGTTTCTTTTACAGCTTCCATTAATTTTATTGGCTGATTCTTTTCTATTTTTACTACTAGAATAAAGTTATAATATTTGAGGAATGCAGTCAAAGTGATACGACAATTAAGTCGTAATGTTACAAGAACACAATCGAACTAATATGAAAATAAAATCTTATGATAATTGAACTAATATGACAAAGTTGTAAGTTTATATGAGAACTCCCATGCAAAACTCAACAAAAAATAAACTATCCAAGCTTTTATTTTTGTTAATATTAAAGCTGCTTTTCTTCCTCATAATTTTAAGACATTCTTGTAGTAAAATTGCATATTTTTTTCTGCTGGTGGTGTGATTATACTCTTTTAATTAAGTAAAATATCTGGCACTAATGCTCCGTCACTCCCAAAAGGAACGATTGAAATTAAAGCCGCTTTTTGAATATGTCTTCTTCTATTTGATATTTCTGTTTTAGAAAAGTAAGCTGGGAAAAAAAGTCAATTAAAGTTGAATCTGCGTGAAAAAAATCTGAGATTTTATTTTGTTGACTGTTCTTTCCAGAAGAAACAAACAAACGGCAGCAGAATCGGCTAATAAAAGCTAATTTGTAGCAGGAAGCTGCCAAGGACAGCTGCCTGTTGCCAGAAGTTGTAAAGCTAAATCTGCTGGAACCGCACAGATTCATAACACCATGTCAGGATGACTCACCGCCGTTATTAATCGCTTTAATCTGAGGCAATCCTCAGACATATGAAGGAAAACTCGGCATGCAGCAGAGGTCGGTCTTCTTTCTCTCCAACCTCGGTTGTTTTGTCTTGCAGGAGGAGGAGAGCAGGGAGGATGAGAACGGGCGAATCGAGCCGGTTGGCCGAGCCGACTCCTGCATGGAGCACACCCCCGTCAGATCTCTGGAGTAAGTCAGCCAAGTCGGGTTTATTAATTAGCCTTCCTGTTTGCACTTCCCTCTTGTTTGCTATCCGAAGGGAAACGCTTGAGTGAGGTGACCTTTCTGCTGAATTTAAATTAGTTTCAAGGCAGATTTTACACTGCTATTCTATTGAAAAACAACATTTTCACTATTGAACTCTTATCTCAAAATGTAGTTTTACTTGTTTAAGTCCAAAACTAAAATGGAGTCGGAAATGGTGTTTGGTTTATTAAACCAAAGATAAAACGCATGTTTTTTAATGTTCTCCCTCTGATAATTCATCAGCAGCTTGTTTTTACAGCGTTTCCTGTGCAGGATGAATAAGTTTGTCTTCTCTTTTCGACACTTAACCGTGTGTGCAGCAGGTTCTGTGTCGCAGTCCGGGTTTGTTTGTGCAAAATCTCACTTTAAAGCCCGCTCCCTGATTTACATAATTATCTTTTGTGGGAGCAGAATGATCCTCATCTCGCCGTCAGAGCTCGCCCACGCGCTAACCTGTTCTGCTCCTGTTATTAACAACTGTGCTTTGTTTTGTTATTTTGCTCCGTCGCATGCCTCCAGCTTAATATGCAGGTATGGTGTTATTATTCCTGTGATTTCACTGAGAGTCTGGCTTCCTCCCGCCTTCTTAGCTGTCAACAAGGGGGCCTTTTTCTCCCCGAGCTAATCACAGCCGTCGCATCTAAGCTGCGAGCGGATTAGATGGGACGGCTTTTAAAATATGCCAGAGTGTGCATGTTTCACAGCCAAGAAAACAGCTGAGAGAGGGGAAAAACACACCTAGACCCATTGAGGTGGGTTTTTATATTTAAAGCAGATTATGGGTGTCCTTAAAGGGCAGGTATCCATAAAACCAATTAACAAACCTCTAACATTTGAGTAAATAGCCGCCTTTGCACTTCAAGTTAAATACCGTTGAACATCAGGTCACACTGATGTAATTTGGCAGAATACATATGAAACTATGGAAGAAGATTACTGCCACTGAAAAAGTAAACCATTTTGGCATTAATCGTCTGAGATCAAAAGTCAGACTTCTGAGAAAATGTCAACATTTTCACTTTTTCTCTCGAAATGTATTTTTTTCCCTCCAGAATTTTTTTTTTTTTTCTGAGTTTTGATCAGAATAATTCTGCTGAAATTCAGAATTGGAATAATTCTGGTAAACTTGAAGAATTCTCAACATTTTTATTCTCTTAAATGATTCCTCTTTCTTTCTCAAAATTTCAAATTTTCATCTTAGACGATTAAAGTCAGAATAATTTTGGTAAATGCTGAGAAAAAGATCAAAATTCCTTGAAAAAAAGTAAAAATCCTAAGAAAAGTTGTAAAAGTTTCTTCTGTGGTCCTAACCTTCTTCCATTGAAAACTGCTTTCATTTGATTGATAAAATATTGTTTATCTTCCTATAGTTATTTTCAAGGTTCTGTTCCCTTCTGGGCCACATAAAGCTTTACGGCGGGCCGGATTTGGCCCCTGGACCTTTAGTTTGACACTGTGACTTAAAGGGTCAAAGTCGCTGGCATCGTTTATCCTCTCCTAAAAGCCGTGGCATCCTGTGCAGGTCGCAGAAGGATAAACTGCGTCTTTTTGCTCTTTTTCTCCTTCATTTCCTGCTTCTTGCTTCCAAAATAAAAGCATCTTCTGTTCTGCATCTTGTTTGCTGCCTTGTGGTGTTTTTTTATCTTCTGTTATTGCGAAAATTAGACTAAATGACAATAAAAGTGCTGATAAAAGCAGCCAGTCGGCCCAAACTTCATCGACATGGAGTGAAAACAAGCCGATGAGTTGATCCCACATCCTGTCAGGAAGTTTTTACGACTTTTCTTTCAGCAGAGGAAGTTACATTTATCCTGAGGGAACTCATTTTTACTCCCCAGGATCAATTCGACAAGGTTTGTTTTCAAAAGTCCTGCTTTGTTTGTGTTTTTATTGTTTTTGTTCTGCAATAATTTGACGACTGATCATATTTTCTACTCCAGGTTTTTGTGAAATTTCCAGTCTAGTGCTTGTGCTTCACCACAAACATATTTTCTTGCTTAAAAATAGCATCTAAAATGGGTGAAAAAACCACCCGAAGTATCAGGAAGACCACATTAAAAATCTCCACGAAGGAGAAAAATATAAAGAAATGAACATTATTTTATTCACTACGTTGCGGCACGTGTTGGGTTTTGGTCTTAAAAATTGTTTTTTTTTTTCCTCCATCATGATTTATTTGAAGTTTTTGTCGTTTGTCACCTTTGCAACATATTTTCATATTTAATTAGGCTCTTTGTTAATTCACCCCTTCAGTTTTATTCTGATCAAACCAGAAACCTTTAGTCACAGATCCTGACAGCAGATTTAGATTGTTGCTCAAGTCCTCAGTTGTCAAAGAAGGTAAAGTTCTAGAAATGTTTTTCTGGATTTGAAGAACCTGAAGCTGCAAAATTATGAAATGGATGAAAAGATGAAATGACCAGGACTCGGTTAATTTGTCTGTTTGTTCACTTGATGCTTTCCTAACATTTTCCCATTTCATTTAAGTGCAGTGAATCCAAACCTGATGAGTTATAAAAAAACAAAACAAAGCTTTGTTGTAACTCCGATAATCACATTAAAAGGTTCTTATGGATATTTTGTTTTGATCGTAACTAACTAATGTGGACCAGAACTACAGTTGGATGAATATAAAACCATTAGAAAATAACCTGAACAAACACAGAGAGATAATTAATGGTTAAATCCACACGATGAGTTTGTTTCATTTTCGACGTGTTAGGGCCTTATTAAACAAAAATAACAAAATTATGAAAACAGTCACAATATGATGAGAATCAGAAATCATAGTATTATAAGAATAAAGTCATAATTTTATGAAAATAAAGCTGTGCAAGAATGAGAATAAAGTCCTAATATGAGATTAAAGTAATATTTTGGTAATAAAGTCACAGTATTATGAAAATAATTATATTAAGTCGTTATATTACGACTTTATTCTTGTAATACTGCAACTTTATTCTGGTATTATTTCTACTTTATTCTTGTAATTTTATTATTTTATTTGCTTAATGTGGCCTTAATTCTCCATTGCACAAAATAAAAGCAGGTTAGGATGAAATGGAGCAACTAAAGGTGTAAAATGGGGGTTGAATTAACATGGAGCCTTTTTGTTGCATGTTTATTTTTGCCTTATTTCTTGTTTTTATTTTGTTTTACCCACATGCTGCCTCCTCTTCCCCTCCGCCACCTTTGCGTCTCCCAGAGACATTGTGAAACTGGTGGAGGTGTCGAACGACGGGGGGCCTCTGGGGATCCACGTGGTGCCTTTCAGTGGCAGGGACCGCAGGTAAAAATGACCAAAGGGCTCCGAGTGACCAAAACCTGCACAAAAACACTCCATATTTATAGAAGACATAAAGCTGTTATGTCTTCTAATCATTAAAACCCCTCCTCACTTCTCTCAGCACAAGTTTGGTGATTTACTAAAACAAGATTTCCTTCTGGAAATATAATCTGTTCTGGATCACATCAGACCCAAATATACATGCACAACAGGCATTCCTCTCGGATGCCCCATTACTCCTTCAAACCTGAATCCACCCGTATGAAACACACACACACACACACTCATTTTCCAGCTTTAGCATCGTGAAACCATTTCCCAGTTTCCGATTTTCCATCAGGCTGGTTTTTGTTTTCAAACGGCCGTCGGATTCCAACATGGCTGCTGTTCAATGTGTTGTTGCGAAGCTGCGTTCACAACATTCAGCTCCGTGCAAACACACATGGAGAAAAGCTGAATTCAGCATCTGGTTTAGATACAAGCAGGATTCCAGTGCAGCAAAGAAAACTCTGGAATCTGAGATGAAAAATTTACATTTCCAGATGTTTAACGGACAGAAAAAGCTTTTGAGCTCCATATTCCAGAAACACAAAATCTAAAAAATACTTTTAATCTCATTTCTAGTCGTTATACACCTGAAATGAGACAAAATTACCTTTTCAGCAGGATACAGGAGCTTGGTTTAAGTCGATAATTCCTTAATATAGATCTTTTTTTTAAATGTGCTAGTTCCACTGACAGATTATTTTACTAATAAGACATTTTTCCAAACTGATGTGAAATAATTTACCATTTTATGACTTTAAACGAGTTACTTGTGAGCTGGGTTGTCTTATTTCAAGTGAACTAAGGCATTTGCATTAGAAACTGGACCAAAATTACCTGTAACATTTTATGTTTTTCCAGTGCATCCCTCATAAACCATAAAAGCATGAATCTGCCCCATAAACTCAGAAAAACTCTTCAGAACCGAAGCATAACATCCCCTTTCCCTCCAACTCCCAGCTTCATCAGCCTAAAAGCAAATTTATAATGCACTTTTCTTTTTATTGGGACAAACGTCATTTCGAGCGTTGCAGTAAGATTAAGAAGCCCGACTTTCATCAGAGGAATGGCTTCTCCTCCTCTTCTGCAAATCATATTGTTTTTTTTTCTTTTACTGTGATTCAATCAAAAAAAAAAATTCTCTACTTTTTCAAACTCCAGAACTTTTCGTCTTACATTGAAATCAACCTAATTTACGCAGGAGCTCACGCTGCCTCAAGAAAATAATAGTAAAGAAGAAGGAGTGATTATCTGTGTGAGGCTGACTTTCCTCCTGAGCTGCCGGTCAGTAATCCTTTCAGGTGGAGTTCGCCTCTGGGCGTAAACCGTTTTCCTCTGTCGGCTCAGCGTGGGTCCCTTTGTGCGACTTTTCCCCGAGCCTTAATGACGTTCAGGGGGTTGAAGCACCTAGAAACTCAGCAGAGGAACCTGAACATGCAAACTGTCAGCAGAGCTGCAAACACAGCCTCCCCTGATGAGACGGACATGTTTCTCTCAATACCTGCAGAATGAAGCAAAAACCAAAGAGCTTTAAATAACATCCTCATTTTTATAAGATCTAATTTACGCATTAAAGCAATAATCCATGTTCTGCTGTCATCCAAACCCAACCTGAAACTTACAAAGCATCCAAACTGATTATTTATTAAACATAAAGCCTAACTGGGAAAAAACTAAGTACACCCTTACTGTGTGAAAGGGGATAAAGCAGCTAAATAAGGACCTTCAAAGTGGCATTTTATATCACAATAAAGTAACTATGTTACCATCAGTTGTTATAAACAAAAGCTTCTTATTTATATATACATGTAAACAGCTAAGAGCCCACTGCATTGAAAGCCTCCTGGTTATTCCACCAAATATTGATTTCTGACTAAAATATTAGTTTTGTTGTTTCTAAATGAATATGAATTTATTTTCTTTGCATTATTTGAGGTCTGAAAGCCCTGCATCTTTTCCTTATTTTGCCCATTTCTCATTTTCTGCAAATAAAAACTACATTTTTGCTTGTAATTTCATAGACATGTTGTCAGTAGTTCATGGAATAAAAGAAAAATGTTCATTTCACTCAAACATTTAAGTAAAATCAGAGAAACTGATCATTTTAAGTGGTCTCTTGATTTTTCCAGAGCTGCATATATTTTAAAAAATGACTTAAATTTTACTTCCTAATTTAACGCCTTGAAAAAGGGCCTCTGTCTCTTTAAAAACATTTCTCTTTCTGAAACTCCACCTTCAGGGAGTCATCACATTAACCCTTTAACAACGTTTTTACCAGCGTTTCACTGAGAAGCAGCTCCTTCATTAAACTCAGCATTTCCACCAGCTGTTTGCTAATTGCTGCTGGCTAGTCTGAAGGAGCTGAGCGGGGAGGGAGACGCTCTGCGACACACAAGCCTAAGTTTAGATGATCATTTTGTTTCTTCACTCGTCAAACTCGTTTTATTTTGTGTTGAATCTGTTTGACATGAGCTTTCGAACCTTTCAGGACTCTTGGCTTGTTGGTCAAGCGTCTGGAGAGGGGAGGGAAGGCCGAGCACCAGGGCCTTTTCCAGGAGAACGACTGCATCATCCGTATCAATAACGGAGACCTGCGAAACATCCGATTCGAACAGTAAGCCTGAAGCTGAAGCTGCTGTGGCTCAGTTTTCTGGAGCGTCTGATCTTTGCTTCAATCCCGAACCTGTCCCTTCGCTGTAACCCGCTGCATTTCTCCTGCCAGGCTCCTCTGATGTCTGCGCAGCGCCAAGCTAACCTTTCCCAGTTTAGCTCCTGTAGCTCCTAACTTCTGACGCTGACCCTGAAATCCTCTCTGCTGCTCCTCATTCCTGCTTTAACACTTTCTTCATTCCTAAATATGGAGGCCTGTTAACATTTATAGCTCCTGCTTTTCACGGCTGTTTGTGTGTTTTTTTATTTTTGGGAAGCTTGTTCACATCAGTGTTGTTCTGAGAAGACAGAAATCTATCACACGGCTTAAGAAAAGACTCGGATATGTTCGCTAATTTAGAAAATAAACATTCATCAATAGCTTGAATTGTTCACAATTTCTCATTTTTCAAAAGTCAATGCTTTAACATCCATGCTTCCTCTCAGTCGGTAGCAAAGCTTAGAAAAAATTAAAGGAAGTCACTTTCTAGTTAGAAATGCCGTTTTGTGAGCATCTCTAACTGAGAAGTTAGTTTTCTAACCCTAAAGCTCAAAACGTAAACATCAGTTCTGCTAATGCTAAAGTGCTATGCTAACATACCAAAAGCTAATACTGAACTGCTAATGTCTACAATGTTGGTCTCGGTCTTTCTAGACTCTACCTGGACTTTATCGGTTGGTTGTTTCTTGGAAATCTGTCCATTTCTTAAGACTTACAAGTTTTTTAAACTTACTTTTTGAAAAGTAACCTGCATGTCGACACAGATTTATCCCCCAGTTTGGGTGACAGTCAACAGTCGGTTACAGTGTTGTGTTTAGCCAACGACCCCTAAACACAAACGTAAAACTGGACATGCACCGGTCCAGTTTTAATATCTATCGGTTCCGATATAGAAAATGGTTCTAGATTGGGTATCAATGACATTGATCCCGATCCGTAAGAGCAGATCTATTCAGTCTAATTCTATGTGCTTTGAGCGACGTCTTGCTTTATGATTTATTTTATATTATTCCTAGAAGACAGAAGGCTTGTTGCAGTTTATTTTTGTCGGTTTATGTATTTGGTTTTTATTCTCCTAACTGAACAACTGAAAGTTGTCGTTTCATGTCTGACCGAGTTTGTGAAACTGTTGGTGTATTTAATTATGTACTGGTGCAGAGTTGTCAATTTGTAATTCAATTTTTGTTTTTAAGTTAATTCAGGTTTGTTTTTCGGCATCGATCGCTGTTGGCTGGAACCTCAGATATGGGTATCAGAAGTGAATCGGTGCAAATCTCAGTGAAAGCTGCAGAAAGACTTGGCAAGACAACCTGACTTCTCAAAAGCAATACATAAAGTAATGAGACACGACTCGAGACTTTTGCACAGTGCCGGTTTCTTGGCAGTAGAATAAAAAGTAATTCAATCCTTATTGTTCCTGTTATGTTAAAGCTCGCCTTCCAGCATCTGAAACATAACCTTTGCAGAGAGACGGAGAATAAACCTTCCAGGCAAAGGCACTTTACAAGAGCAGCAGTTGTCCTTGGTATTAAAGGCGTTTTTATCAAGGCGCGCTGCATATTGCATCCTGTCTGCCACTCCATTTTTGAGGCCAAAAATTGTAAAGATGCCGTGAAAAGACCCCGACGTCTTTCGGGAACATTATTAGCAGCTGGGAATATGCGGCCAAAAAACCCTTCAAGTTTAAGTTGTTAGTCCATAGGAGGGGGAAGCGTTTCAGATTCTAGTTTCCTAAACGTCCGTTCAGCTGTCGGGGTGTGCTGCACGGAAACAGGTGGTGCTAACAAGGCAACACAAGTTTCCACTCACACCTTCTGAAGGGGTTTAAAGAGGATTTTCTGTGAACAAGCCGACGCGTAGCGGTCTGCTTCATCTGCAGCCAAATGAGAAGATTATGTGATGGAGGAGTCGGGGAGGGTTCGGTTTCTTTTTAGAGCTGCTTGCGTTGGCAATAAGTGTTAATTAACATGTCAGATTGTTCAGGTGGGCGAAGATGGACATCTGGTAGGTGGAGCGCTTCACCAGGCGGCGACGTGATTAACACTGGATGAGTGTGTGATGCTCTTTTCATACCCAAAATAAAACTTCCCCTGCTTATCCTCCTGTTGTTGTGTTTCTCTGCTCTTTGCTGTAGAGCTCAGAACATGTTCCGCCAGGCCATGCGCTCCCCGGTCATCATGTTCCACGTGGTGCCGTCGTCCATGAAGGCCCGCTACGAGCAGCTGTCGCACGCCGAGAGGAACCCCTCGTTTTCCTCGGGGCGCTTCAGCCCAGACTCGCTGTCCGGCGTCGACCACAACCCACAGAGGATGAACCGCCACGGATCCCAAACGCAGACCCACCCAGACCCGAACAACGGCTACCCACCTCTGAGCCACCCTGCCGTCACGGCGGCCAAGCCTCCCACAGGCCACGCCCACTCGCCTCAGAGGGCGCCGAACTCCACGCCCACGCCGGGGTTCACCAAAAAGGTGGGGCGGCGGTTCAACATTCAGCTCAAGAAAGGTGAGTTGGAATACAATCCACAGGATTTTAAGGCTAATCAGTTCTTTTATGTTTCAAAGGGACTTTTTATGCACATTTTGTACCAGATTTTGTACCAGATTGTTGTATTGATTGTTATAAGCAGCAGATCCTGCTGCTTATAAAAACAGCCAAGGTGTTTATAAAAAAAAAAAAAAACATTTCTTGGTAATGCATGGTTCTCGTGTGACATCACACTTGCGGGAACTTTGTAGGTGACGGCCATCTTGGTAGGTGTCTGTAACTGCCATCGCAGGTATTTAATTAGTTTGATACAAATCACCATTTTTTGTGACTGGTATCCTAAAGAAGCATATTACAAATGGAAATGTTTTTTAAGAGCCGTGTTTGTGGGGACGTGATTGCAGTCAGACCCATATAGTTACCTAAAACAAAAATAATAATTATCGTCACTTGTATCATTATCACGATAGTGCCACAAAATATTGTGATAAAAATTTAAGTCCATATCACCCAAACCTTGTCTGTAATGTTCTATTTAAAACTAAAGAGTCCATTCCCTTATCTTGGCATAGAAATGGTCTTGATGAGCCTCCACAGAATCACCAGAACTGGTCCAGTTGATGTGAAAGTGAGAACCGAGTGAAGCTGCAGTCTGGGTCAGGACTGAGTCTTCTCTGCGGTGCGGTTCTGAGTGACAGCTGGCCCAGGTGGTGTGATCCTCTGCCAGCAGGATTTCAGGTGTCGGCGCCAGGAAGCTTGTTGCTAAGCAGCTGCTGGTCCCTGAAAGGAGTCTGACGGGGCTGCATCGTGTGTCACTGCAATCCTCACCCAAATCTGTCCGCTCTCATTGGACTGGGATCAATCCAGTCTGACAAAAATAAAACGACAAAAAAAACAGCACCCAGCTGCTTGTTGCCTCCTTTGGTTTGACGAAATCCAAACTAACCGAAAAATATAAGCTGAGAAATAAATAAAACCTGTAATTAAGGGGGAAACCGTAGCTAATTTGAACTGTGTTGTGTTTATAAAACATGTAGATATAATCTTCATTTTCGTGTTTATCAATCTGTTTAGTAGCTTTTTGAACTTATGTGAAATATTTTTTCCTCTCCACTCAAGCAGCTTATCAGTAAATTACAATACTCCATACTCCTCACTGTTTTTTTTATTTTATTTCTTTTATTCACAGTTTAAAGTGAACATGTCGCATCTTAACACAACACAAAAGTTCAGCAAGAAAAGGAGTAGTTTGAAGAAAAACAATCCTATATAGTCTGCTATTCCTGCCAAAAACTTACTAATAAAAACTAGCAAACAATTTCTAAGAACTAATTAAAACTAGCTGGAAGTCACAAAAAATAAAACAAACTATAATGGAAAACCCAAACTTGTTATAAAATGGAGGCATAATCAAAATACTTGCATTGTTTTTTATTCTGCACCTAAAAATTAACCAAAGTATGAAAATACACTAAAATTCCTACCATACCCATCCAAACAAAACAGTATTTAACTAATAAAAACTAATTTAAACTGGTAAACACACTCTAAAAGCTAAATTAAAACTGAAGTCTCTGTTTTAATTTAGCTGTTTCTCTAGCTTGTGTTTTAGCCCCGTTCCCGTCCAGAGAGGCAATCTGTTCTCATTCCCCCCATTTTGTTTGCCGTTTTCGGAGCGGACACTCACAGGGATTAACGGCGGTTCCCAGGAGCCGCTGTGGCTCCTCGTTTTTGTTCCGAGTGCCGATTTAAGCCGACTGCTTCGAGCGCAGATTAAACTCCCGCCTCAAATCAGACACCGGTCCCCTCGTAAATCCTGCCGAGTATCAGAATCAATGGGAATCCTGGAGATGGCCGAGGTGTGTCCTAATCACGCTAATGAGTGAACGATCCTCCTCCTGCTCCGGTTTACCGGAGGAAGCGCCGGCAGAGGCTCCTGACTGCAGCGGGAAGCTGATTGCTTCATCAGTGTGGGGATTAGTTTGAGGAGACAGGATGGGAAATGTTTTACTGTTGTGGGATTAAAGCCAGCACTCTGATAAAACCAGCATCGCCCTTAAATAAACTTCTTTTAACAATAGGTTTACACAGCAGAACATTCTTATTTTGCAGGATGAAGGTTTTCACAGGAGGTCTTCCTCAGCTTGGTGGTGATGGAGGTGATGAAACGGCAGCAGAAGCATCCAGACATGCTAACGAAAGCTAAGCTAAAGGACTCAGCAGAACTTTCTCTCTCACAAACAGACTGAGTTTATTTATTTATAGCAGGATTTAATCTGACCGAATTTAATCCGACTGGATTCAACCTGACTGGATTTAATCCGACTGGATTTAATCCGACTGGATTTAATCTGTCTGGATTTAATCTGACTGGATTCAATCTGACTGGATTCAATCTGACTGGATTCAATCCGACTGGATTTAATCTGACTGGATTTAATCTGACTGGATTCAACCTGACTGGATTTAATCTGACTGGATTCAATCTGACTGGATTCAATCTGACTGGATTCAATCTGACTGGATTCAATCTGACTGGATTCAACCTGACTGGATTCAACCTGACTGGATTCAACCTGTCTGGATTTAATCTGTCTGGATTTAATCTGTCTGGATTTAATCTGTCTGGATTTAATCTGACTGGATTTAATCCGACTGGATTTAATCCGACTGGATTCAACCTGACTGGATTCAACCTGACTGGATTTAATCTGTCTGGATTTAATCTGGATTCAACCTGACTGGATTTAATCTGACTGGATTTAATCCGACTGGATTCAACCTGACTGGATTCAACCTGACTGGATTTAATCTGTCTGGATTTAATCTGTCTGGATTTAATCTGTCTGGATTTAATCTGGATTCAACCTGACTGGATTCAACCTGACTGGATTCAACCTGACTGGATTCAACCTGACTGGATTCAACCTGACTGGATTTAATCTGACTGGATTTAATCTGACTGGATTTAATCTGACTGGATTTAATCCGACTGGATTCAACCTGACTGGATTTAATCTGACTGGATTCAATCTGTCCATCATTGTCCGTTCTCTCCTCCTTCCTTGTGTCCTACCACTCTCCTTTCCTTATCCGTCCTTCTTTCCTTTCTGTCCTTACTTCCTTACTTCCTTCCTTACTTCCTTCCTTACTTCCTCTCCTCACCTCACCCTCTTCCTTACCTTCTTCCTTGCCTTAAAACAAAGGATCTGTGACAAAAACTTGGAATCTTGTGGTCAGTTTAGTGGCAACCAGAAAATGATTGATTATAGATTTTCCACGTAGATAATTATCCAGAAAATCTGCGAAGGTTATTTCAGGAGACTGAAGCGTTTATTTGAATATAAATATGTTTAAATATAGACATAAATCTGGTAACTCGCTGCATATGCCAGTTGTCGGCTGTTATTTCCTGTAAACATCTGATGTAATTACCCAGATACATGTGTCGTGTTCTCCTCCTCGTTCTGAACTCTTTCTCCTCCATTGTTGCCGTGTCTTACATCAGATCCATGCAAACCGTGCCAGTTGGATCCAAGCGCGTTTTACTCACTTCTGCCTTCAGGTCAAACCAAATCCCACCATTAAATCTTCCGTCCTTTGCTTTTTGTTTTTCCCGAAGGCCCTGAAGGACTCGGCTTCAGCATAACGTCGCGTGACGTCCCCATCGGCGGCTCCGCTCCGATCTACGTCAAGAACATCCTTCCCCGGGGGGCCGCCATCCAAGATGGCCGCCTTAAGGCAGGAGACCGGCTGCTGGAGGTGAGACGTTCTCTGGGTTTAAACGCGATGAGAGTTTCAGTCAAACCTGCCTGCCAACTGTTTTGTTAATTAAAGCTCCTGGTTTTGATGTGGAAATTCTGCGTCTTGTTCAGAAATCAAAGCGTTTTCCCAAACTCTCGTGCTGCAGCGAGAGAACGGCGTCTGAAGTTGCATCATCCCTCTTTGCAAGTAATTTGCATAACAGATTATCGCACCGCGAGGCTCAGACGTTCTGGCTCAAATCAGAAACTCAGCGGTGAATCTCAATGTAATCATGTAAAAACTGACTAAATCTGTTTGGAAGACACTTTGTGGATTAAGTTTAAGAAAAGCAGACGTATCTGCTTGTGTTTAGTTTGTAATCCTCCTTTAGTAGAATATTTTCAGTCTGTTTTCGGTTCCTCCTCTCGACCAAAATCACTTCTGATTGGTCAACTGACCAGTTTCTAAACTGATAGATTTCTTATTGATTTTCTGCTCAACTTTCTGACAATCGTCTTCCTGAGGTTTGATGGGATGGTTGACAAAACCGACAGATTAATTTACTTTAAGTTCGCATCTACCAACGATCCGTCCATCCACCCAACGTTTCAATAATTGATCTAGTTATCGATCCATCCATTCATTCGTCAGGCCGTGTGTTTAATCATTTCTGTCTTCATCCGTCAAATCATCCATCCAATACGCTGTTCATCCAATCATCAGTCCGTCCATCCAGTCGTCCATCTGTCCATTTGTCTATCCAGTCATTCATCCATCAGTCCATCATTCATTCATTTTCCCATTCATTTACTTATCAAATTTTCAGTCTTTCATCCATTTAATCCACTCTTCACTTCCTTACATCACTAAAACAATATTTAGAAATTAAAAAAAACAACAAAGTCTAATGTGTTCAGTTCACAACCAGGAACTTACATTGTTTGCAATGATTAAAATAAAGGTTAATCATTAAATCATTACAATTTCTGTACATCAGTTTAAACTTCAGTGGAGGAATCCAAGTTTTCCTTTGTGATGACGCCATGTTTGCGTTTCCTCTGTGATGACCCCATGTTTGCGTTTCCTCTGTGATGACGCCATGTTTGCGTTTCCTCTGTGATGACGCCATGTTTGCGTTTCCTCTGCGATGACGCCATGTTTGCGTTTCCTCTGTGATGACGCCATGTTTGCGTTTCCTCTCTGACGCCATGTTTTCGCCGGTCCAGGTGAACGGCGTGGACCTGAACGGCCGGACGCAGGAGGAGGTCGTCTCGTTGCTCAGGAACACTCCGATGGGCGGTGCTGTGGGGCTGCTGGTTCTACGCCAGGAAGACGCTTTCCCACCCAGAGAAGTCGTAAGTCTCCGCCTCCGCTGCTGCTCTTCATCCCTTCATCTTCCTCTGTGTGTTGGCTCGCAGTGAGCTGTCACAACTTTTCACTTCGCTCCGTCTGAGCGTGCAGATCGATTTTCCCGCCCTGTCGCTGCTCTCCTCTGTTATCAGGAGGCAAACCCGCAGAGATCTCGCTCTTTATCTTTATCTCTCCTGCTTATTCCCCTCTGCATCTCTTCACTTCCGCCTCCATCTGTGTGTTTTACCTCAGAGCTGACTCTCAGATTGATGGATGTGGGAACAAGCAGACAGACGCAGGCCAGGTTGCAAGAAGGGAGGGAATAAACAAACTGGGCTTGAATATCAATCAGGCGCCATCCTCACATCTCACTGCCGACAGAGACGGAAATCTTTATGATTGAAACGTGTCTGGAGTTTATAAACGTTGAACTTGAAGTTTTATCCAGGTCTAAATACAGATAGACATGAAAACAAAGCTTTTAAATCCAAATATGCCAACTTTTTGCAGCTTTTTGAAACTTATTCAGGACTAAAGAATGCATCCTATTTTCTTATATTCATCTGATTTGTTCCCTTTTCCAGAGTAAAATTGTCAAACATCCTTTAACTTTAAAGCTGCAGTATTTAACTTTTATAAAAATTGTTTTTTTATTTAAATATTTGTTAAAACTTTCACTCTGGTATGACTGTGCAAAATGAGAGACAATTTTAAAAAATCGATCTACATCGAGCTTCTGTTGCCGTCTACAAAAATGTGACCAAAATCAACCAATCAATGCCAGTAGGAGGGTCAGAGCGCTGTCAATCAACCTCATGTACTCGCTGCTCAATGTATTAACAGCAGAGAAATAACCTATTATTGCAGGAAAACTGTTTATCCTCTTTTATGCCTGGCTACGTTAACTAGCCTGAATATTCATAACCGGCTATGCTAGCTTGAGGATGATTGATAGCGCTAAGCCCCGCCTCCTGGCTCTGATTGGTTGATTATAGTTACCACTGGGAGAAGGCAGGGGAGCTTGATTTTTTTTTTTTTCAGTTTATCTGTCTCATATTATCCCGTCATAACATGGAAACAGTTTCAACAAATATGAACAAATCTTTTTTTTTTATTAACATTGCATACTGCAGCTTTAACTGAAATGTAAAAATCAAGAAGTTTGAATTTTTTTTAGTTTTTTAAACATGTAGTGACTCAAAAATATCTTTATAGTGTGTTAAAACTTTAACCTGCACTAATCTCTGAGTGTCCATAATCAAGCAGCAGCAGTTTTAAATAAAAAAAATTCAGTTAAATTCCAAAATATTTCATTTATCTCAAAGGGAAATTAAATGTTTTCCTGAGTGATATCTTGTAAGTATCTTCAGAGAGTCGTTGTGGATGGTGATTCTGTGGGCAGTGAGAATGTATTTTCACATTTTTGAAAGTAAACTTGAACTTTGAACTTGATCTCCAGTAGCAGTGAGTGCTGCAACTAATCTGAAGAAGCCTCTGACTGAAGACTGTTGCTGTAAGACAGTTTTGTTACTGTTATGGCAGGTTAAGAGATCAAAACTGGAGCAGCAGACACACCTTCGGTTGTTAGCTAGCTCTGCTAATCCACCTCATTTGCTTTTGCTGCTCCACTTTAAATTTCCACCTGGCTGTGTGGTCGCAGAGATGTTGGAGTAGGGGATACAATCCGTATACTGACTGATGGAAACAATGGTCAGAGGTCAGGTATTATCCCATGCTTCCATTTCAAAACCAGTTTGATGGACATTTTGAATCATTGACCCAATTTTATGCAAATTCCAACTGTCTGCTGATTTGAGGTCAAGTTGAAAAATTTGGAGGTATTACTACTTCATGACTTCTTCACACTGACATAGAAACAATCCCTGTGCATGATTCTGCCACCACCATGCTTCACAGCTGATTCTGTAGTTGGTTAGAAGTGGCAACAAAGCACTTAGATGGGTATATACATACATATGAACCTGTGTGTATAAATTTCACCTGATGCAGACTATAGAAATATAATTATTTAATCTTTTTATCAGCAGAAAAAAGTTGAAGTGAATCAAAAACGATGCGATACTCATGGCCACGATGAGTGGATTTAAATTTCTGACTAAGTTGAATTTAAATGAATCAACAAGCACTCAGTCTAATAAATTACACCTAATGCAGAGTAATGAAAACATAAAATCAGCAGCTGCTATATTACTGCCACAGGTGGCACACAATTCAGCATTAAACCGTTTCTGCTGCTGGTATTTCAAAAGCTTGTATCACTGATATAAAATGTCATATTTCAAATTATTTTTATTATTTAGCTACTTCTTATTCTACTTTGGCACTATTACAAAAAAATCCTGCATAAAATGACTGAATTTGATCAGGCAGAGTTGAAAACATTCCCTAACTCTGAGGTTTTTATCTAAAATCCTGCACTGATTTATTTTTTAACAATTTAGTCCAACTTCACTGTATTTATCATTGCATAACAAATGGATTGCATAATAAAATCAGGCAACAAAACAAACTGTAAAACAAAAACAATCCAAGTCTTTGTATCAGCTGCTTGGAGACGGATGGGAACTGGATCTGGCAACCCGATCCTCTGAGTCTGTGTGTGGGCGTCATAGCTGCCAGGAATGCCTCGCTGTATTTTCTTCTTTTATAGTTTAGCTGTAACAAATCCGTTCCCACCAAACAAAATAAACCTTTTTTTTGTCTGTGAAGCAGGAAAAAAAAGTCTTGGTTGTTTGATGCTTTGTCAAGAAAAGAACAGCATGAACGCTGTTTTGTTTGGAGGATAATTGCTGTGAGCTGCTCCGTGTCGTTTTCATCAGGTTCAAGCATTTAATCTGTAAAACAATACTACAAATAAAAAAAGTGCTAAATAAAATAAGGCAGCAATAAAAATACATTTTTAAAGATATTTAATATCTGGTGTGAGCTGCAGACATGGTCGCAGTTTCACGTAGGAACCTTTGTGTTGTGTTTCTGGTACGCCTGTAAATCTGTCGCACAGGCTACATCCGCTAACGACAACGATGAACGATGTAGCCAAATCTCTTGGATCACTGGGGGTTAATTTTGCTTTAAAACAAAAATCTGATTGGTCGCTGGAAAGGTTTATGTTCAAGTTGTTAGCGAAGCTATTCGAGCCTAAAAGTAGCATCTTAGTGCTAAACATGCTAAGCTGCTAACGCTAATGTTAAAGAAGCTCCATGTATACTCAGGGGTTCCAGAATCACTGAAAAGCTGAAATCTGATGGTTGAAAAACCTAAATAACCAATTAAAAACAACAAATATCTCAATTGGAGAGCAGATACGTCTGTTGAGCATCAAAAAGGGTTTCTCAATTGAAAATATTGCTTATTTTGCCATTTTTTTAAAATTGAAATGCAATTAATTAGACTCTGCAAATAACTTAATTAAAAAACTTTAAGTTCCACCAGTAATTTTATTAATCATTCATCAGTTAAAATTAGGTCAGTTTTACTGTGCATCATGGCTTTACAATCTAATGTGGTTCAGATGCTAGAAAAAAGAAGCATTAAACTTCATGTTGTTTTTTATCCTTTATAAATAAAATAAATGTATCTATTCAGTAATAGTTTTAGATTTTGTTCTAGAAAATCTCTTAAAAGCAGTGAAATGGCAACCTTTACATTTGCAGCTAACTTTTTTTGGAGGCGCTCGTGTTGCCCTCTGCCGGTGTAGCACCCTGGGCGGAGAGCCGTACCTCTCTTCCATCATAACTGATGATTATTTCTATTAGGTAGTTAAAAAGTTGAGGCTGATTTGTGAAACTGTCGGCTGAGGTTCATCGTTTCTCCGTTTCATGTTTCCATCTTCCTCCATCTGCAGAAACTCACACCATCAAATTTGAACAGTTTCAGTTCATGAATATCTGTTGCTTGACTCCTTTGGTTCTTCTGCCTCCTCTCCCCGTTTCCCTCCACGTTTTTTAGAGCGCTGAACCCCAGAAGCACTCCCACAGAGACCTGGTAAGACCCGACACCAGCCAACACTTTTCTGCTCCTTTATTTATCCGCAACATCTCTTTGCGTAAATGTTCTTTATTTCTTTTGGGAGGAACAGTAAACCTTATCACCCATTTGGGATCAAAACATTAGATTTTGCATGCATTCAGTCCGTAAATCTGATTTTAATCTCTTCCTGAAGTTGCGTTGTCAAACCACAGTTTAATGGCTGTTTTGCAGGATAATTTGCTCCTTAACTCCCCTTAGAGCGAAACGCAGAAAAAGCTTTTTCTTGTCTGCCTGCGATAACATCAACCTGACCTCCTTCTCTCTGAGCTGGAAAATATTTTGCTGTGATGTTAAAGTACGTCAAACTAAAAATGTTAAAAAATCAGCCTGAACCTTAAATTGTTGACTTTTCCAAGGAGCTGTCTCTAATATATTTACAAAAATATATGATTTCTTTGCGTAAACCTCAACTAGAATTAGATTTATTACTAATCAAACTGATATCTGTTCACTTCTGATTCACATAACGACTAACGATCAATACTGACTTTTTTTTCTAGTTTATTTTGAAGAGGAAATTTATTTTTGAGGAAATTAATGTTTGAATTACAAATTAAAATCCAAGAATTATCTTTAGAGGATTTAAAAAGTCTAGATGCTAACAATGATGGGACACTTAGTAATGCTTAGACATGTAAATTCTCCTTAAAGCAACATTTGATACTAAACTTACCTACGTATGAAGTATATGAAAATCTTCTTGCCTTGCAAAAACTATTTGCTTCAAATCTGCGAACACACTGAGATCTTTACTGTTTTCTTTCCTCATCAAACGTTTAACAATGAAAGGATAACCTATGACCAGTTTTACAATAAAATGAACTAAATAAAAGCTGTCAGTCGTCATGGCGGCATGGTCCGCTTTCTCACATTCAAAGGGTCAAGAGAGGGAAACATGGAAAAATTTACACTAAAGAGATGAAGGTAAAAAACGTTTGAGATTCGTCCAGATCTCAAAAGGTTTAACAAAACTCTGCGACCTAAAAGACAAAACCTTTGTGATGAGATGAGGGACTGGACCAAAGTTATTTTAAGGTTTTCTGTTCTGAAGGGAAAACCTCTGAAGTTCTTTGAGGTGAAAGTTGAAATCCAACAAAAACAGGCGTTGCTACGACTTATTACAACCACTGCTGACATAAATCAAGACGCCAAACAACATGCAGCCTGACGGCCAGAACAGGATCTCACAGAATCTCAATTATATCTTCTTTTCCAACATTATTCTGAAACCGTTGTCATTGAATCAGCCATTAAAAGCTCATCTCCTTCTTTGGGGCTTGTGTTTGAAAGCCCTTCAGTTTTCCATAATTCTCAATTTGCATCCAGTTTTGTAATTAAACATTTGGCTTTACCTTCAGGTTGCATCTGGCCGACTGCAGGTAATTGGTTATGTTCTGCGAGCCGCATTACGAGTTTAATCGGCCAGTTAATTTGATTGGCGGTTGTGTCGGCCAGCTGTGTGGATGATGCTCGTCATGACGAGGTGTTATGGCGGGACATTCATGGTTGCCGTGACGGCAGCTGGTGTTCAGACATGGTGACATATATCAGCGGCGTTGAAATGAATGCAGACAAACACACCGGCAATTATTACATCACTGAGCGTCGTTTTTTATGGCGACTGTGACGTTAGACAGTCAGAAATTAATTTGGCTTGTTGGAGGGGAAAAATGGAGGCTCCTTTCAGTCAGTATATTATCAATATTAAGTTGGCAAGCTAAATATTTTGCTGCAAAATATTTGGTTAGCAAACTAAGTATTTAGCTTCAAGCTAAATGGAGAAGCAGCATTCAGCTTCTTTGCACCACAAATTTGGGACAAACTTCCAGAAAACTGCAAAGCAGCCGAAACCCTGAATTCCTTTAAGTCTAGACTAAAACTCAGCTGCTTAGAGTCATTTTGAAACCTAATCATGAAACATTAATCAATAATCTGATGTGCAAAGTGTAATGTTGGCTGTGTTTTCTATAACTGTGTGTTTTTATGATGTAAACCACTTTGAAATGCCTTGTTGCCGAAAGCTGCAACACATGAAATCTGATTGATTAGCTAGCTCCAAATTATTTATTTAGCAAACTAGATATTTAGCCAGCTAAACATTTATTTTGAAGCTAAATACTAAGCTTCAAACTAAACTTTTAGATACCAAGATAAATATGTAGCATCAAGCTAGATATTTAGTTAGCAAGCTACATATTTATCTGAAGCTAAGTTGTTTTAGTTTGCAAACTATACTTGAAGCTAAATCCATAGCTTGCTAACTAAATATTTAGTTCTGGGTTTCAGTGTTGCATTGAGTCCATGTTTATGCGGTTTGTTGGTCACCATTAGCTGTGGAACTGCTGCAGCTGTTAGAAATGATCAGAAATGAGATGTTGATTTGCTTTTCTCCTAAAACTTGTTGGTAATGTCACAGGAAGCCTTTCTTGGTTCCCACTCAGGGTGAATCTGTCAGGTCTTGGTTGTTGTTGATAATCAGTGCAGCCATGTGAAGAAAAGCCAAGCAGATAAAGCTCCACGGCGGGCCGCCTCCTCCTGCCCCCATCCGTCTCTTCTTACCCCCGAACCTCCAGATGAGTCTGTTTTCTGCGCTCCATTCCCGGAACATCAGCCGCCATAATGGATTCAGCGCCTTTCAGATGTTATCTGCTGTCAGGCACCTCATTTTAAACATGCTGCTGCCCATAAAGCCGCGCGCGCGGCGATGCTGTGAGGTTTTATGGACTCTGAGCCGAGCCGACCGGCCTGTTAATGGACGCCCATTTCAATAAATGGAAGTGTTTCCAGTAGAGAAGGTCAGATTTCTGACTGTAATCATGATTATCTCATTAATATTATTATTTATTATTGATCTAAAATGTATTGCATTGTCTAAAAAAGTTTTTTTGCAAGATTACTGGGTTTAAAAGATTTTCTTTATTTTACATAAATACATTTAAAACGGATACATTGAACATTTATTTTTTAAATATTTAAAAAGGCAAAAATTGGAATATTTAGATTTTGTTTTAACTTAAATGACTTATTTTTTAAAATATTTTTTAGATATATTTTTGCACATATCGGATAATAAAATGTTCATATTAAGTTTTTATTTAAAAAATACATTGAGTTTTGTTTAATCTTTCATTTAGTTTTGCAACTTAATCTATATAATTTTTAGTTTGTATTTTATTTTTTAATATTTTAATTATGTATATTCTCCATCTTAGCTTTTTGTCATTTTGTACCTTTTTTGTTTAAAAAGACAAAAATCGGCAAACTTGGCGTTGAGAGAAAATTTAAATTTTTCATTTTGTATTTTATTTTATTTTTTAGTACAATGAAATGACACTTTTTCTACTTACTTTTTGGCATTTTTATTGAATGTTTTTAAAATAACCTTTAAATATGCAGTGATTTCATATTTTTTCAGTTTTTCTTTTTTTTTGAACTCAGTTGCATAAATTTTATTTACTTATGTTTTGATTATTCCATTGTACCAATGTCAATGTAATAACTACATTAATAGTCAGTGCAGTCATTACACTGACTACTAATGTTTTATTTTGTAAGTTGTATGGTTGCCATCAGAATTGCTCCATTATTATATGAATATTCCATAAATATTTTATGTAGCGCTGACATTAATTCAGTGTGCTGCATGCAGATGGATGTCTGGACGCCTTCCCAGGGCTGCAGCTGGGATTTTTTTAGATTAGCATCTTTCTGCTGAAGGTTTTCACATCAGACATGATGCAACTGAGGTGGAAAAAATGTCGTTTACTGAGATTTCTCCAGAGACAGAAACTGGAGCCACATTCCTGCCCTAACTTTGTGCGACACTTTTTAAATATAATTTCCAGCCTTGTGTTTGTTTTTTTAGTGATCTGTTGCTAAACTTTTGCTGATTGAAGTAACTTCTGCATGGCAACACTGAGCCCATTATGCTGTATAAGAAAATTAGCTAATTTGTGCGGCTGCAACAAAAGGCTAGGAGTGATTTTAGCGATCCATTGCTTCACCAATGGTCTGTAAAAACAAAACACTTAGCTGGATATTCTCCTGTCTCTTCCTCATCAGCTCTTGCATCTCTTTCTTCCTCCTCTGCGCCGTCTCGTTGTCAGCGAGACTCTTAAAAGCCACTCTTAAGACACAAATCCCCGTCCCCAGCACCTGGCTCCCACAATGCAGCTGATCAAAGGCATCCGTCTCCCCGTCCCCGCGCTCTGATAGTTCCATAATGGCTCCATAACATGAACATTCAGCCCCATTGTTTACGCCATTAGTCACACAGGCTTATGGAAAATTACTGCAATGCTGCTTTGAGAAGCCATCAAGAGGAGCAGCAGCAGTGCAGCATCAACACGGTGCCAAGACGCTGTCTGTCTCCTCGCGGCTCACAAAGCCGTCATGGAGCAATAATCTGTTGCAATGTGGAGAAATGACGAAGGGTTTTGTTGCTGGTAGCGATTGGCAAAGCGTTACACAGCAAAAATATGTCAATGTTTCTGATGGTTTGCAGTTTATTTAATGTATTTGTTCTTTTTCTGGTGATTTTCATTTAAAATGCAAGGACTTTTATTGTCACATCATTTTCTTGTGGTACGAAATTCGAACTCGGGTCCCAGATCAAGAAGTTAATAAATAATGGGGTACTCGAGTGTCAAACTCGAGACCCAGGGCCAAATTTGGCCCGCCGTAGCTTTTTATGTGGCCCTCTGCAAATTACATCAATAAGTCCCTCCTGTTTTTCATAAATCTGCAACATTTGCAAAAAATCCACAAATCTCTGCATTTTTTTCAGGTTTTACAACAAATTTTCAAAATTGTTCAAAAACTGAGTTTAAGTGACAAAGAAGCAACATATGTTACGTTTTCAGCTGCTGCAGTTCTCCTTCACACTGCACGGTGAAAAACCTGTTCCCCTCCTCACCTGTGGGGGCGCTACACCAAAAACCACCGAAGGAAACGAC